AGCTGAACAAAGTCTACGTTGTGAAAAATAGTTCTTTGTGTCTTTACATCTTTCTAAACAGTTCTACTAGCAATACAGTTCTCTCATAGGAGAGAGATGCAGAAGTCCTGAGAGCTAAATCCCCACACCACCTACCCAGCTGTAAGACAGTGACTCAGACAAAGGTCAGAAGAGCAGCTAATTTTAGAAATATAAATATATTTAGTTCCATTGACGTCTTATATTACGGCCAGCGGGATGGCAACCAGGTAATGTCTGTCCACTGTTTGCCCTGGCGAGCTAATGAGCTTTTTCCTGTCACGAGCAGTTCCTCCCACAATGGTTTACAGCACAGATAGCTCTTCTGCCAGTGCACAGGAAAGGCTGAATCACAGATACACACCAGCTGATAGGAGATTAAAAAGATGTGTGGACCCTGAGAATTTGAGTCTAAAGACAAGGATGGTGGGACACCTTTAGTCCAAAGGGTGTGTTAACAACCTTGTTCTTCAAATGGAAAAAAAAAAATACCCCACCCTAAAAATTCCTGCCAGCAAGTCAGTACGTTAATTACATTAGCTGCAAATCTACCCACTGATCTTTTCAAATCAGTTCTTTAAAAAGAATATAAAATAAAACGCAAGAAAATTGAATTTATTTTGGTTTTACCTTGCAGTCCATTCTAAGAATATGCTGTGCAATAATTTTTGGATTGTTGTTGGTGAAAAGCTCCTTAACTCTTCTTAACATTGATGTTTCCAATGGCTTGTTTTCAGGAGGAAGTAGTTTGGAGTCAAAATCATTGGGTTTGAAACTAGACACCGTCTCAAAAACAGGTGCAGAAAAGATGCTGTCGTCTTCAGCCATCTCAGCTGAAGCTTCTAAAGGATCTGCAGAGTTCGCTGTCAGGTCATCTTCCAGGATCAAATAGTTTGTTTCAGAGTTCCTGAATGAGTGCGTTCCCCTCTCCTTTCGCGTCAGATGTTCCACATAGCTGGCTTTCTGACATAAACGTTGTTTTGTCACTGCAGGATCCCTGGCAGGGCTCAGTTCACAATAGTGGCCTTCCGAACTGTGGGAAGCCAACGGAGAATCCGGAGGCTTCATCAGGGGTGCTTTGCTGGGTTTAGGTGGAGGCTTCGGACAGAGCTGACTGTCTGATCCTCTAAGAGCTTCCCCTACTTGTGACTCAGGGGTGACTTTCTGAACAACTGTGGGGCTTAGAGAAGGTTCACTGCCTGTTCTAAATGCCGGAGAGTTTGGGCAAGAGTCTGCATCTGCTTCAGGTAATCGAGATGGATGTCTTGAACCTGCGGGGGAAAATGGTATTTCAGAAGGCTTAAAACATACACAATTCCTGATGCCTGTCCCCGGGTTCATCTCTTAACGCTATTTCCTGAGGAAAATATTGTCAGATCATGTCAATTATTCACTGATGAAAATGTATATGAAATTATATTTTGAGGAATGAGCTAGCCAGCAAATTCCGTTCCTTTGCTGATCCTCCCAAAATCCCAAACACACAGAACAGCTGCACCATAATATTATTCTGTGGTAGTGCTGACAATAATTCCAGCCCCTGCTGCATACATAGGCTATACTGTCAGAGCTGGATAGTCTCCATGGCTTGAAATAGGAGGTTTCTTTGTAACCTGATCTAGGCTATAAAAACACAAACTTCCAGCCACACCACATAAAAGATGAGTAATTTCTGAGAATGACAAGTTTGAGATGAAAGAAAAGCTCCCCAAAGTCAAGCCTGAACCTGCAGTAAGGTATGGAAGGAATGAATTTCAGGGATGCTAATCTTTCTGCTAAACTGTAGCTGATCTGAAGAGCTGGAGAAACGCATCCAGATACTTCTGTGTATTTATGCCTCATCCTGTACTCGCTGCACATGCAAACCTCCGCATCCAATACAGGACCGAACCCTGTACCAGACATTCCCAATCTGCAGTTCTCAGTGCGTTTGCTGGTATCTACAGCGAAGTGGCTGGTTGCAGCACGTGGGCTTTACTGCTTGTTTCCAGCTGGCTCGCAAAATCTGCGAATCACAGCCTGCCACCGCTCATAAGCGGTACGATACCAGGAGCTGCTCGGAGGACCCCAGGACAAAACACACAGCGGTGCTCTTCAGGTTAACTGTTGTAGTACCAAAAGAAACGGTTTTGCAGCCATGGATTGGAGTAACACCATCAATTCAACTACAGATGGACAGAAACTTGTTTTATGAATGTCTGCCCATCCCACTGTTAAACAGAGGAGCACACCCTTTCTATCAAAACGCAGTCGCACGACACAAATACGTAATGTTATCTTTGTCTCAAGAAATCTTTCCACAACAGGCACTACAAATTCTAACGGCTACCGTTGTCAAAATGACCGGCAGCCTTGGAAGTCAAACACTAGAATTTGTCCACATGGGAACAGGTCCATCATTGCAAGCTTCCTTACGCAGGATGTTAGTAAGGAAACAACTCCTTAAACCTCTGAAGAATCTGAGAAAGAAAAAGCCACGAGCAACAATTAAGTGTTGGCACACCTTTTACCACTGGAGGAAGACAATGACAGTGGCTGTGGAACCAGACAGCAGCAAAAGGAATGAAAAGCAAAAGGGATGGGGAGGGGAGAGAGAAATTGAGAGGGAGAGGAAGACAGAACTGAGTAAAAAAGCCACGGTAGTGCTTTTCTCCTGATGAGGAACGCTACCACATCTACACGCTTTACCCTAAGAAAAAGCAGATACCAGGATTTCCATGAAACACCGCTTCTGCTTAAGAGACTTCTGTCAGAATGACATCAGTGAAATAAGTCAGTTCTTGTAAAGTACAATTGAGGAACGGTAATACTGTCAGAAAGGATATTAATGCCAACTGTTGAGTTGGGTGCTGGTGCATTGTAACTGTCCCAATGACCTAAAGAGCAGGCAGTATGCTAACACAGCGTACACTGGCCATCAAATACAACTGTACTCAGAACACTCAACAGTCTGAACTGTAACAGGCCACCTGGGCACAGACAGATTCTAAATGTGAAACACTGAATTACAAAACATACCTATCAGCAGATAGCTCTCTGACTGGTGAGCCTTTAACGGGAATCTCTTCTCCAGAACATGATCCAAACTAGCTGGCTGGCTACCACTTTTGTCTTTGTTTCTAGGGTAAACAAAAATGCAAACAAAAACATGTCAATACGTCCAACACTCTTAACATACATACCTCATTGCCAGAATGTATCATAACCTGTGATCATTAGCTTTCCACTTGGGCAGCTTGTAAGAATAAAAGGTACTTGATGCTGTTGTGGTAGCCATGAAACGGGCTATAATAGGTGTGAACCCGCAGCATTCGTGAGGGTGTTTCTTTGAATGCTGAGACATTTGATTTGGACACTGAAATTAGGATCCATTATCCCACACTTGGTATTTTTTACTGCAGAAGTCAAATATGGAACAGAAGACTTCTCTGGAGCAGCAGCAAGATTTTACTTTAATCCTTTGTCTTATCCCACCCAAGATTTGCCAAGGCACTGAAGAACAAGTTGCACCACTGTTGTGCTTCCAGAGCCTCCATTTGCTCTCGCTCTGTGGATTTGCTGATTTTTAGCAAAGGATTTTTTTTAGGTTTGCTAAAAATCAGCAAACCCTCACGCCTAGTCTTCCATCTAAAAATCAGAGTGAAAATTCACGTCACCTACAGCAGGAGCTGATAGAGTTACCTCATTTCTCTCCAGAAGGACAGCAAAATTAAAGTACCTCAAAAGATTTCCTCTGGGTATGCTATGCTCCGGGGACTGCATGCTGGATATACCAAGACTCAGCCTTTTGGCAGTTTCTGCTTTTCCTTCAGGGATACTTGGCTCTTTTTGCCGGACTGGAGTTACACCGTACTTTTCTTCTAGACACCTGAGAGGCACAGTCCTGTTGACGGGCTGAAAAATAATTGCTCCACTCTGCTTTGATATTGGTGTGCGATTCCCAACATAGTATCTAACCAAGCCGGGGATACTGTCGAAACTTTCGAGTTCAAACTGATACTGAACACGGCAGTAGGCTTCATTGAGTCTTAGAACTGTTCTGTTGATTTTAAAATGCTGAGAGGTATTTTTCCACTGACAGGTAAGAACAAAGTTCCCAGGACTGGAGAGAGAATCCCTAATGAGAAAGTCTCCATCTCTCTGAACTAGGCTTTCTGCCACCTTTGAGGAAAAAGAATTATACCAAAAAAAAAATACTTTCAGAATCAGAAAACAAGTAATCGAACACCACATCACAACAAAATATACCACGTAGCACTAGAAGAGTCGGAGAAACCCTGTTTTCCTGCTCCGAGCTAGTGCTTTCATGCGATCAGCTCCGCAGCTGGCAGGGAACTTTGGGCGCGGTGCGGGGGGCTGCTGTGCCCGCTCCCCCGCTGGGAGAAGGGAGCGGGGCGGCGCGGGGGGAAGCCCGCAGGGGAGCTCCGGAGCTCCGGGACCTGAGCTCCGACCCCGCGACAGCTCTAACGTAATTTTACTTACGCTTGTTAAGGGTGAAAATTAAGCTATTGCATAATTTTGTTGTGGGGTTTCTTCCCTCCCACAAATTCCAAGTGCAAGGAAAAAAAAACCAAGCATGAACATTTTAACTTCGGTTAAGAACACTGAACCAAACGGAAGTCAGTGTCTGAACAGTAAGTGGGGATAGCATTCTCAGATAAAGCTTAAATTCCATTTCTGCCTTTATTCAGTGCACACAAATCCTGAAATATCTGTATTTTCCACCAATGTCTGCTCTGAATCCTTCCCCAGCTTCATTTTATGCCAAGCTGTGATAAACACCATAGCTTTCACACAAATAAGCATTACGTCTCTACCAAATCAATGCAGACATCAGAGAGGTGTATAGTACTTCAGTGCAATTGGGCTTGTCCATAAAAGCTGGAAGCACATTTGGCAATGCAAAGACCACGTACCTGCCGAGGAATACGTCCATGGTACCAGGCATGGCTACGCAAGTCCTCACTACTTAGCTGCAGTTCTTCCTCTAACTCCTTCTTCAGTTTTTCTGGGCTGTTGTCCATAACTTGCCGCTCCCTAGAAAACTGCAATAAAAGATTAAAAGCCTCAACTGTGCCAAGTTTAGTGATTAACATTTTACCTGGGTTATAAACTCCCATCACATGATCTGCTCTAGCCACTGGAATGCAGGTGCTGCTTTTAGCAGGCTGGCTTGGCTGCGCTCGCTGGGCTGCATTGGCAAAATCCAGCGCTCAGTGAGATAACGTGATTGTTATACACTGGACGGAACAAAGTGTTCCGTCTGTACACCAAGCTAGTAATGACATACCTACAAAGTCACTTCTCTTACTTCCTCTTGCCAATAAGAAGCTTAACTATACCCAAAAAATGGAGCTGGACCTAAATGCCCTGCTCCAATATTCTTCCTCCTGTTTAAACTTCCATGTTAAATCCAGACTCTTCCCCCTCCAGCCCCCTTTGAACCCATCCAATTAACAACATTCCAAACACATCAAGACAGGCTAACCTGTCTTGGACATACATAGTTGTTCAGTATTTCTGTTGCACTAAAAACCAGTTTGCCACAGTAAATTTTCAACCTTTTAAGGGCTTCTAATGGTCATTAAATCTGCATGTCCAAGATATTCCCCTCCTAAGAGGGAAAAGTTCTTCTTGCCCCTTAGCACAAAAAGCATGAGATCTGCTTGGAGATATCTCCACCACCACTATAGAACTACTACAAGATTTTCTGGAAAATTTCCATCCTCATCTCTTCTGGGAGTACAGCTTCCATGCCGGAGCACTCTGGCTCATTAGTCCTCCGCGTGGATGCAGTGTTGCTAACACAGTAAGGCGCAGTATCTCCTCTAGAGAGCTGTCATGCACTCTTCCACAAGCACTCCGAGGAGGGAAGTTCTTTGGACTTACATTCTCCAAGGGCTGGCAATCCAGCCCATCTTTACTGTTGCTGAAGAGTTTCAAAAGTCCAAGATACCCAAGGGAAACAGGCTCATTGCAGGGAACGTGTTCTATATGGATTAAAGAATTGGAACACACCCTCTCTGAAAAGAATGTACATTTTTCAAAAACAGAGAGGGAAAG